AACCTTTTAAGTCATCCAAAGTAAACCTTTTAAGTCATCCAGAGTGTTTTAACCCTAATGAAATATTAAAAAATGGAGCAAAACACTGTTATTAAATGAACAAAGGTGGAGGAACCCTAATAAACTCTAATGCCACTCTGTAGATGTAGCGTGGCAGAGGATGCACAAGGACCAGAGAACAAATGCAGGAGAACGGTGGGTGGAGGAGCAGTGCCTGATGCAAACCCTGCCCGCCTCACAGGCCCTTCCACTTTCCAAGCAAGAGGCGCAGAGCCTGCGCCGAGCGAGGCATGGGCACTTCCTGGCAGGCTGTCTGCAAAGAATTAGGTGTCAGACCAAACCGGGCACTCAGCGCTTTTCCTCGGCAACGCCTGCTGGCACTGCAGACTCACTGGCAAGTCTGTGCAGTTCTCCTCTCACTTGCAATTTACACAACTGGAGACAGAGAAGAGGAGAAAAAATCCTTTGGATTTCACCCAAAACCTCTGCTAAAGGCCCAGAGTGTGTACGCTAACTAGCATTTCCCATTCTGAAGAAGTGTTCAGGATGTGGTTTGGGGGGCAGGAAAGAACAGCCAGTGCCCACCAGTGCCCCTTTTTCCACAGGTTTAGCTGGGTCCGTGGAGGGCCGGGAGGACTTCAGAGAGAGACGCAGGCCGGAAAAAAAAATCAGAAAATCAGTGTTACTCTTGTCCTTTAAAACTTACATCAAAGCTGAGTACAGTCTGGCTCCTGCAGACCAACTTGCTGCAACAAATTACTGTTTTGTGCTGGTTTTGCACCCTTTTGTTCCAGCAAGCCCAGGCTTTGTACCCCAGGCCCCACTTCCTATGGACCCCAAACTCACACCCCAAATACAGGGAAGCAAAACCTTACAAAACTGATATATAAAAGTTTGGCGTTGCTTTAGAGGAGATAGAGGTTTTTGCCTTTTTGGGGTGGTGCATAAGTCAGCCCAGTTTTAAATGAAGGGGCCATTAAACATTTTTCCATTTGAATGGAAAGGAAAAATGGATTTAAGTTGTAAAACAAGCCACATCTCCCGACTCTTTCAGCAAGAATTTGAGGGTTGCAGAAGCTAGTCTGCTGCAGCAGTGACCTCCCCCCAATTGCTGATGGAGACCTCCCCCCACTCTTCTTCCTTCATCCATCTCAAAGGGGCAAACCCAAAGCTGGCAGATCCCATTGCACAACTGGCTAACTGGGAATTGTGCAGAACGGGGCCCGTGTCTCTCTCTCTGAAGTCCTCCCGCCCCTCCACGGACCCAGCTAAACCTGTGGGGAAAGGGCCACTGCTGGGGACTGGCTGTTCTTTCCTGCCCCCCAAACCACATTTCTTCCCTGTTTCTCCCCTTGGCACACATTAAAGGCTCTGTGTTGGCCCCAAAGTTACTGGCCACCCCCCTCGCTATGATTTGGGGGCAGACTGTGGGGAGGGGGAGCAAAGTGCAGAAGCAGCAGGAGGGGGGCAAAAATGGAGGCTGCAGGGCTAGTTGTTTAAGGGGATCGGACCAGGAAAGCAGGAACCCCTTTAGTGGTATGGCTTTGATTCTTCACTGCCCAAAGCTCTGAGAATGTTGGGGGGAGAAGGTGCACCCTGAGACACAGGCGGGGGCAGAAGAAACGCGAGGCGGGGGCGCACGCACCGTGACAAGGCATCTGGTCCTGCATTTCAGAAAACTGCCAGTGCAGCTGGACCTCTGGGGGGAGTGTGCCCCGCACGGATCCTGCCTGCCCACCGCTGTCACCCCTGCAGCAAGGCCTTCTTCAAGGCAAAGGCCGGCAGAGTCTGTCCACCCATGCAGGGGACGGCGCTGCCTTCAAGCTTCCTGCAGGGCAAGCGGAGCAGCCACCAAGAGGGCAGCATCGGTGCCGGCTGCTCCCGGCCAGCGAGGCACTCTGGCAGTCAGGAGAGAAGCGGATGAGAGCAAGATGCGGTGGCGGCAGGGGAGGGAGGAGGTCGCTCACCTGCCACCCTCTCTCGCTGTGAGAGAATACGAACACTGGCACAGCCGTGGCAGACAAGTCCAAAGAGCAGAAGGCCTGCCTCTGCCCATCTTCTGGCCCCGGAAAGGGATTCTGCTTAACCACTAAGGATTTCCACGCTGAAGCCTGAGATCTGCTCCCCACAGAAGGACGGGGAAAGGACCGAATCTTTCAATTTGAGGTAAAGAGACAGAGGTGGAGAGAGAAATACAAGGAAACTCCTCCTAATACCCTGAATCTCCCTTCTCCCAGCTGCATCTTATCAGTCCTTGTCCTGCCCTCAGTTTCAGCAGTGCCCCCCCCTGCATCTAACATCCTTTTGGGTACCTGTACACCACTATCCTATCTTCTTTTTTTGCAAATTAAGGTAGCCAGCTCCTTTAACCAGTCCTATCAACCTGGTAGCACTTCCCTTGAACCCACTCCGCTCCTCCATGTCTCCCTTTTAACTACACGCTGCTCCAAATGTAGCCTAACAAGGGAAGAGAGCAACAGAACTACGTCCGCTGGTGGTAAGGAAGCGATGCTTTTCTCACTGCATGCCAAGATGCTATGGACTTGATCAAGTCCATGCAAGCTGCATTGCACTTGATCATGTTTGGCTGGTGATCCAGTAGTGCTCCTCACTCACTGCTTCCAAGCCAGGCCTCCACAGTCCTGTATGCCTCTGGTTTTTCTAACATAGATATAGGACCTTCAGTGCTGAACATCATCCTGTTAGATTTGGTCCAACGTCCAGGCTCTTGAGGTCATTTTCAATTGTAAATTCGTTCCATCTCTCTATTTTGGTTTCAGATTTGATAAGAATCCTTTCCTTTTCCATCCTTTAGGTTATTCTTTATAAAGATGTTGAGTAGCCTGGGGAACCAACTCAATATTTCCCTCCAACCTGATGCAAAACTTCCTTTTAGACGTGGCTCTTCACCTCCACCCAATTTTAAATCTATGAGACCAAACTAAGAGGAAGGAGGAAAATACCGAGTGGGGCTCTCAGAATTCAATCATCAGATGAGAGACTTGTTGTGCATTATTGTGATGAGATAAACCATATCCCTTAGTCTATGAAACGAGCCATGAAAAGATGACTTATTCCTGACCAACTCATGCTGCCTCCTGGTAACAGCAGCTTTCTTTTCTCACAATCTGTTGAAGTATCTTGTGCAGTACAGATGTTAAATTAATCTGTAGCATCCCAGGTCTTTCCTCTTAGTATTGTCATACAGATAAGTCCATGTACATGGATGTGTCCATTAAATCACCAGGAGTTGAGTTAAATGATTGAGATTTTATATTTACCTATTTCTTTTCATAATTTTAAAATTTATTTTTACAAAGTCAGCATGCCTGAACACTCAAAGTGGCTGACAATATGTTTATGTATATAATCCCATAAACACAGTTAAAACTATGATTTATATTCTAGAGTTCCTTCCTGAAAGTGTGGATGGTGGAGCAGAGTTCCCAGGGGGAACGGATTCAAACCTTGGGCATGATACATTCCCTTTCCTTAATGTCTTTACTTTTAATTCAGTTTAGGAGCATTCAGTGCTGGAATTTTCAGTTAACAAAGCCAGCTGTTTTCATTGGCCATATGAATCAGTACATATGGCCAATGACAGTAAAAGGGGTTGCTGTCACCTTTGCAGGTTGCTACCATGTTGTTCCCATAGCCAGGAGCTGCTGAAGGGGGAGAGATGCCAGAATACCATTATTTTTCCAGCTACGTCTCATAATTGGGGACAGGAAACCAGACAGCATCTTATGTTGAAGGAGGCCATGTCTCTTGTCTACTGACGGACCAGGAGTTCTCTGGCAGGTCACCAGTTAGACCTGAAAATGTTACACAGGACAGGGGCTGTCGCTGAACTTTAATGCAACCATAAAGTCTCCCAAAACCATGCAGGTCATATATTTATAGGGTGACTGGGGGTGGTGGGAAATCTGGATCACAGGGCCTCATCTTCTCTCACCTAAGCTGCTCTTCTCTCAGAAACAGAGCAAGAGAAGAAGGTGCCTACTAATTTGTAGTCTGGGACCTCCCAGGCCTGTGGCTCCAGGTCTGCTCAAAAGTCATGGCAAGTGAAACTGAGAAAATCTTGCCTCCCCACCCCTCTCCTCTCACATCTCTGACCCAAGGACATGGCAGGGAGAGTGGGGCCAAATCTGCGGGATTCCACCCCCAAGGCTGATCAACTTCTCCCAAGACTCTACCTTCTGCTGAACTACTTGAGATGGCTGATCAGGTCATCCAAGCACAAACGCGGATGCAAACCATGGTGATTTAAAAACTGACAGAGCGTACATTGCAACACCACAACACAGACTCTGATCTTTTGGACACAATTACTATGTCACAGGGTTTGCACTGCAACCACCGTTCCCTCCCTGAATGCTCTTCAATTATGAAATGTTTTCCGCAAATATGGAGTTGTTGGTCAGGAGGAGCATTATATGATGAAAGAAAAGCCCACCTGCAAACAAACGGAAGGCTTGATAAATAGCTCAGTACTGAACAGGGAGTAAACCCAGGGCCACATGAAGATTTATCTCTGTAGGCCCTTGTTGTGGTAATAATTCAGATGCTTGGGGCTACAAAGGTATTCTCTGGAACTACATTCTTCAGTAAGTTGCAGCGTATACATGCATAATAAAGTAACAATACAATAATATCATAAATGTATTTAATTTTAGGATATTCAAAATTTGATTTTACTGCTGTTTTTCATATTTTTATTTTTTTAAACTTAAAACATTTTTTCAGGCCTCCAAAGTTTCATCGGTCCCAGGCACGGTGCCTATTCAGATGGATAATACAGGCGAGAAAGATAAAGAGAGGAATAGCGGAGGGTTACATTTTAGCTCCGTTCCTATTCTTGTTCTTAATTCAAGTTTTTTGCTTCTTTAGTTTCCTATTTTTAAAGTAACGGATATGCACATGTGAATTGCTCCTTGGGAGCTACAGCCCCCAGACAAAAAGAAAGAGATGTAAATTTTAAAAGGAAGCAATTCCTCAATGAATAAGGTAGAATCAGAGATGAATTGGACCTAATACAGTCTAATGCAGTTGTTCCCCTCCTTTTCTCTCTAAAACTGAAGCTGGTTAGCACAGGAGATTTTTAAATCCAGCTCTAACTGTGGATGGGATAAAGGATGCTACAGGAGGCAAGTCCCTCTGGGGAGATCTGCAAAGCGCTTAGTGCATCTTGCACAAGGAACATCACTGAGGGAAACAACTGGGTGGTTGTCAAAGCCAAATTCACCCTTCTCTGAGCAGGTATCCTCTGCATGTGTTTGGACTGCAATGGCATTGCTGGTAAATCCAGGGAGAACCAAAGAATCAGTGGTGAGGTTCTCCAGACGTAAATGAATGAGGGAGTGGCTGGCCAAATGCCTCTGAGAAAGAAATTGGAAGACTTTGGAACAGTGATGATGGAAGATCAGCCCCACCACTACTTGGAATTCCTGGGCATCAACAAAGCCTCATTGCACCAGAGGAATGCGTGTGAAGGAAAGCCCCAGGTTTGGAAAGACAGCTCCTGACACGTTCAGGATTTCCCAACATGAACTTACATTTGAGAACTTGTTCTCACTGCTGGCACTGGCTTTGTTTGAGCTGATAAAAAACTGCTCTTATTATAGTTATACAGACTCTTACATAGAGTCGCTCTGCAGTGAGATGGGCGGTGGCAAATTTGAAATATAAATAAATAAATATAAAATAGTTATGTTTAGTTATAGTTATGTTTCAGAATTTATTATAATTTTTAATGGGGTCTCTAGCTTGAAGAGACGGTAGATCTCTGAATGCCACTTACTATGAACGAGTAATAGCAGAGGACCTCAATCATCTGGCTCCAGATGCAAAGCTGGGAGTGGTGACTAGTTCTTTAGAAGAAATAGAGAAGAGAGAATTCAAAAAGATCTAGAGGAGCTTGAGCAGTGGGATGAAATAAAGAGGATGGAATTGCCCAGGGAGAAATGCCTAGTTCTGCACCTGGTTAAGAAAAATGTGAGGCAGAAATACAGGGTAGGGGAGACAGTAGTGCAGGGGAAAGGAATCTGGGTGTCCTTGTTGATCACAAGCATGATGGAGCTGCTACAGAGGCAACTACCATCTTGCGGTGCATCGACTGGAACGGAGGGTCCAGATCATGGGCAGTATCTGTTCCACTACTCTGCCCTAGTCAGACCCCAAGTGGGGTCCTGGGTTCAATTCTGAGCATCCCAGTTCAAAAAGGATAAGGACAGATTTTATGTATGTTTCTAATTCCCGCTATCTTCAGTTTAATGTGTGGTTCTAATCCTCCTAATTTTTACTTTCAAATTTGTTTTAATGCTTCAGTAATAAACAAACAAAGATTCCTCAGAGCTGTGTCTAAGGTAACAGATTTTCCATCTTGTTCAACTTTCAGCATCACAAGGACCTGTGTATATGTTTTCAATGGACATAAATGTATTTTTTGTGTTTATGTCAATCAGCATGCCTAGTCTGTAACAAGATCTCTGATTTAAGAAGCTGATTTATTAGTTAATGTGACTCCTCAAGCATCAGCATTTTTACAGATGAAAACTTGAGAGAAATCAAGCTGCTCTAAGAAACAATAGGAAGGTTCTATGCTCACAAGTGTCCAAAGCACTTCTGAATGACTCTGGAACTGTGCAAAGCTCAAATTATTACCTTATTTAAAAAAAAAAAATTTCTGGAGACCCTGAACATTCAGTTCCTTCCATGACATACCTTCCTGGACTGGAGGCAGGCAGGAACTGTCAATCTGAACTTCAGTCATTGTTGTATTCTCACACGGCCAAACAGTGCTCCAGCACTCCAAAGACAACCTGCAAGAACAGACATCAGATTGCTAAGACTCTGGCATGATATCCAAGAGCCTTTGAAATTGCCAAAGATATTCTTTTTATGGAATGGTCAGAATCACCTTATTGGTTTCAAATCCCTCCAAATAAAAAGCATCATTCAAAAGAAATTTCAGAAGCAAGGTGGAATATTAAGGATTTGACCAAATTTGAAAAACATATAACACAAAATACAGAACATTTGTTGGAGCTTATTTGTAAGCTGTTACTGAAACATGAATCAGAAACTGAATAAGTTGTATGTGATTAAAATGATATAGAACTTCAGCATGAAAACTGATATGCAACAACAGAAATATCAATGGAAGACAAATATTAAATTTACCATGAATTACTGAGAGGAAACTAGTAGAAGATGTTTTATCACTGGTATATTACTTCAGTACTGATTGCTAAAATATAAAAATGATTTTCTAAAAATAATTGAAAATGCAATAATCAGACTGGATCATTGTTTCATATTTGGTGGAAATGTTGTAAAGCCCAACAATTCTGGAAGATGATAATTACAGATTGAAATAAAATTTAAATAATTACTTCTGTTTCCAGCCAGCCAGTTTTCTGTTAAATGTTACCAAATTTTATATTCTCACAAAATATACTGAGCTGGCTGACAGAACACTCTATGACTTTTATTGGAAATCATGTATAATTCCCTCTATAGAAAAATGACAAACTAGCTTATAGGAGCATGCACCAATGTAAAAAATAACCATGTGTTGAAAAAAAAAAAGTCTGATACAAAATTTAACACAACTTGGAAACCATTTATGGATTATAGCTCCATATGTGGACTTGAAAAGACAAGACTTAGGATAGATACAATAATGCTCTTCAAATACCTGAAAGAAGGTGAAGAAGACCTGCTATCATTCTAGAATGTAGACAATGGAATAATGGATTTAAAGGAATAATAATGGATTTAATGGCAAACTGAATGTCAGAAAAAACATCCAAAGAGTAGTTTGAGAGTGCAACCGATGGCTCAGAGAGATCGTAGCCTCAAGCAGAAACTAGATCTTAATTTAGATTTCTACATGGAAGAGAGTGTTGACCAATCTAGTCCCTTCCAGCTCTATAATTTTATGGTTTGCAGAATAAAGAATGTATTTTTCTTAATTGCCAGTAGATTTAAGGAAGTCATATTGTGATATAATGTTAGGGAAAACGTCCAAAGAAAGAACAATTGATAGTACAACCAATTATTCTGAGGGCGTCTCTCCACTGGCACCTAACCGCAACACAACCGTGCATTTCCAGCCCACAATGTCACTTGCTCTCATCTCCGGCTCACAAGACAGACCGGCTTAAGTTGTCCTGAGCTTTATCAATATTAAGCTAGTCTTTTCCCCCTTATTACAACACCATCCAAAAGCAAACCTCAAGTGTATAAAATCTGTTTGCTTTTGTCACCCACTGCCTGCATGGAAATCAGGAGGCTTGAAATAAGGGCTGGTTAGGGGCCAGCAGTGGGATGAATCAGTGTCAGTGGTGTGGTTTTATATCAGAACAAGGATGGGTGGAGAGCACTTCAGCTCAGGATTCGGGAAAGGTATGGAGAGGTTGTGGGCTTCATATCACTGAGTGTGTTCAAAGAGGAAGCTGGAATGTGGAGTCCTTGGTGCTCTCTAAGCTTCGTTATTTGCTTGCAGATGTTTCGTTACCCAACTAGCTAACATCATCAGTGCTAGTGAGTGTGGGGTTTGCTCCCTGTTTATATAAAGTAGCTTGCCCTGACAGCGTTGGAGGGGGTGTTATTTTCTCCTTGGTAGTTCCTTGATTAGGGTATTGACTCTGTTTGTCTGGTATTAATCCCTGCGTGTGTTCTGGTCTTTTCGTTTCCTTAGCTTTTTTATTGACTCTTTTGAAAGGTGTGTAAATGTGGCTTATCTCTATATGTCTATTGAGGGCTGATTTGTCTGAATGCCAAGCTTCCAGCAATTTCCTAGCATTTTTGGATTTAGCTTGGTCTAGGATGCTCAGAGTTTCCCAGTTGAAACCATGGTTGAGTCCATCCATGTGTTGTGAGATTAAGGAGTTTTCAACCTGTCTTCTGACTGCTAGTTGGTGTTCATGGATGCGCACTACTAGTCTTCTGGCTGGCTGTCCTACATAGTGACTGTTAGAGTCCTTACACTGTATGTATGTATGTATGTATGTATGTATGTATGTATGTATGTATGTATGTATGTATGTATGTATGTATGTATGTATGTATGTATGTATGTATGTATGTATGTATGTATGTATGTATGTATGTATGTATGTATGTATGTATGTATGTATGTATGTATGTATGTATGTATGTATGTATGTATGTATGTATGTATGTATGTATGTATGTATGTATGTATGTATGTATGTATGTATGTATGTATGTATGTATGTATGTATGTATGTATGTATGTATGTATGTATGTATGTATGTATGTATGTATGTATGTATGTATGTATGTATGTATGTATGTATGTATGTATGTATGTATGTATGTATGTATGTATGTATGTATGTATGTATGTATGTATGTATGTATGTATGTATGTATGTATGTATGTATGTATGTATGTATGTATGTATGTATGTATGTATGTATGTATGTATGTATGTATGTATGTATGTATGTATGTATGTATGTATGTATGTATGTATGTATGTATGTATGTATGTATTTTTTCAACCACCCATCTCCCCCCAATGGGGGAACTCTGGGCGATTCACAGCAAACATTAAAAACATAAAATATATAAATATATAAAACCTTAATTAAAAACATTACTAAAAAGGAGAAGGAGAGTCCAAGAGGATGAAAAATCTGAGGCTGTAGATGACTTCTACGCTTTCTTCTTGGGCTACTGAGTCTTTTGGCAAGCAACCAACCAAGCTCAGAGAGCACTAAGGACTCCACAGTTCAACCCTGAGCTATGAATATTCTCTTCTATTGGAAACTGGAATGCTTTTCCACTCCTGGACAGAGCATGGCCCCTCCTATTCAACCAATCAGACTCAATTCTTCAGCCCAGCCTTGCCCAAACCACCCTGTGAAGGGTGCCCATCACCTCTTGGAATGATCTGTCCCACTACAAGTGCTCTTACTGTCAGGAGGGTTCCTTCCCTAACATTTGATCAGAATGTGCCTGCCTGAAACTTAAATGCATTATTCTGTGTCTCCAGAATGAGACCAAACAGGTCTGTCATGACTGTTATTCAACTGAGGAGCTACCCAATCAAAATCTGAGATCAAATTAGTCTGCATGATGCAAACACCCCAAGAATTATTCTGTGTCAAACTCTTAATGCTTGGTTTAAAAGATTTTGCAGAAAACTACCTGACCAATAAAGGAAGGTAAAAGTTGGAAACCCTCTTCTTTCCTAGAATCATAGAATCCTAGGGTTGGAAGGGGCCTGGGAGGTCTTCTAGTCCAACCCCCTGTCCAGTGCAGGAATCCTCATGGCTGCCCAGTCTTTTCTTGAAAACCTCCAGTGATGGAGCACCCACAGCTTTGGGAGGCAGCCTGTTCTGCTGCTGCTGCTGCTGCTGCTGCCACAGCCGAGTGTGAAGCTGAGTTCCGCACTATTAAAGGAACTCAGATCTTGTTCCTTCAACCAAGGAAGGCCTCTTCTCCCCACCCCCTTTCTGGTGAATGAAAATTATGAGCATTTTCTAGAAAGTGTACTAGAAAGCAATTTGAATTCAGGAAGGGCAAGGACTACGTCTGTGGAACTTGCCTGGAGGGGGAGATGCATGTTTTGTTTGGACCTGAGTGAGGGCAACCCATTTTCTGTTCATGGAGAAAGGGTGCGTCAACTGCTTCTTGCCTTCATTTCTGTGCCTGGGGTGGCTCTTCTTGCCTTACTCCGTCTCACCACGAAGTGCCAAAGAATTTTGGACAGTCCTCAGGGGAGCAGACTTCTGGCCTAGATCACAACCAAGGTGTGCCAGCACCAGATGTGCCCAAGGTTGCCAACCCCAACTGTCCCAGATTTCATTCTCGTGGCTCTTATAAGACACAGATAGAGAGGGAAAGGCCCAGTTTCAAGCCTACCTTTAGTTGGGGTCATCCACCTGGGCAAAACAGAGATGGCCCTTCTCCCCCTTCATCCTACCAAGACCCCTCCCTCCCTCCCTCCCTTCTTTTAAGATTTCACTGGGCTTCAGAGCTGCAGAGCTCAGCTTCCCACTGCGCCCCCCCTTACCTGCAGGCTTCCTGGGGGGCCAGTGCCTTCTCCCAGGAGGGGGAAGCAGAACTGGGGGGAGGCCCTTGCCCACTGGTGGAAAAGCCAAGCTATGCTGAAAGCAGGGAGAGAAGATCCTGTTGGGGTGATAATCCTAGGGGGCAGGAAAGGAGCGGGGATGATGGGGCCATTGAGAAAGGCCCATGGGTGGCAGGGAGGGAAGCCTGTGGGTGTGACCGCGGATCGTAGGCTCACTAAATCCTGGGGCTGGGTGTGTGCGTGCGTGTGCATGTGTGTGCGCTTGTGAAGAGAGGGCGTTTCAAGAGACCCGGGGGGGAGGGGGCGGGAGAGGTTGGGGAGCGCGATCCCGGCGGTCTTACGGCCCTGCACGCGGAAAGGAGGGGACGCGCGCGGGCCCTTTCCACCTCGTAAACGGCTGTTTCGCCCCAGCTTCTGCGGGCGGCGCAAAGGGTTCGCGGGCCCGGAGGGGGGGCATCCGTGGGTCCACAGCT